TTTTTTATACTTGGTACTCAAATCCAGATGTCCTCAACTGCCTGGAAGTGAGGCCGGGGCCAATTTGAGGTCAAAAATACAAATCGTTCTTTACGCCTTTTCTGACACTGGAATTTACAAGGCCGCCTCTTGGTTGAACTATGTAGTTATGGGTTGGGAGCCGCAGGCAGGAGGATCTTGTGAACAGCAGTGAGTTTTTTGTAGGCCTGGAGATACACAGAAGGTGCAGGGGATTGAACTGAACATGGCTTAAACTCAGGGCATCTCTTCGGGGCACTTTGGAAAGAAACTATTAAAATGTTATTTGTTGAGTAGATTATTTCCTTGCCATTTGCCTCCTTCTTCAAAATGGCAAGTACAGGCAAGGCAAGGAATTTAAGCTATCTAGGGTTTGGGGATGTCCAAATCAAAGGAGGTCCTCTGGGCTGAGCCACAGATTCAGTGAGAACATGTTTCTTGATCTTAAAACATTAAAAAAAAATTTTAATGTTTATTTATTTTTGAAGAGAGAGAGAGAAAGAGAGAGAGGCTGTGGGCAGGGAAGGGGCAGAGAGAGAGGGAGACACAGAATCCAAAGCAGGCTTCAGGTTCTGAGCCATCAGCACAGAGCCTGATGAGGGGCACGGATTCGTGTACTGGAAGATCGTGACCTGAACCGAAGCCAGACGCTCAACCGACTGAGCCACCCAGGTGCCCCATTGATCTTAAAACATTTTAGATGCTTCTCCAAGTGCATGAGACCTGTGCTATGCCTGTGCCTCAGCTGCATAGAAGACAGGGTAGAGTAGGTCTAACACTTGGCTTAGAGACAGTGAAAAACACCTCTATAAAGTCAAGCTTTCACTTCTTTCTCTTTTTCCATCTTGCTTCAGCTTATTCCAGTGAGATCCACATTTCAACCATCCTTGGGGGTCGACTTCCAGAGAACTGGAGTCCCTCCCCTCTTTTCGCATCCTGGCAAGCATGTGCTTCTCTCTGCTTTTCCACATGAGTAATTTTGGAGCACCAGTGGAAACCTCCTGATGGATATTGGTTCTACTCCTTGCTTTGCTACTTACTTGCTGGCTGGGTGACCTTAGGCAATTCAGTTGACTCTTCAGAGGGTCAGTTTTCCCATCTGTGTAATGGCGCTACTTACCTACCTCATAGGTTTACTGTGAAGATTAAATGAGACGATGCTTGGGGCGCCTGGGTGGCGCAGTCGGTTAAGCGTCCGA